TAGATCTAGACTTGCTTTTTTGTTGCTTTTTTGATTTAGGCTTATGGGGTTTTTTAGGCTTAAGCTTAGGTTTAGTTCAGTTCATTTTATGCTAAGGCTCGAACATAAACTTAAGGCTAGTGTAGGTTTAGGCTTAAAATTAGCCTTTCTTTTTGCTTTAGCCTTGAGTCGTTGCTCAAGGCCTGATCCTGAGTCTGGTCTTGAGCATAATCCTGAGCCTAAGCCTGGGTTTGAGCTTTAGCCTGTTCCTGGGCATAATCCTGAGCCTGAGCCTTCGCTTTGGCCTTAGCTTCAGCCTTAGCCTTGGCTTGAACCATAGAATTAGCATTAGCCCTTTAAGTGTTTTTTCGTTTTTCTTTCCTCCTTCCCTATAACACCATGACATCTTGCTCTTCACTTGCCGGCAACTCATCAACAAGCAACTCCAACCCTCCTTACGCGGCATTCCAGTTGCGACGCGCTACTCATCTGCCACTCATTTTTCATCCTTTGCACTTTGGCGCAAAATCCACAACCAGCTCCACTCTATTCTGGCGACAGGAAAGGAGAAACTCGCGACAAAATACGCGTTTGACCGAGGAGGCACCCGCGACCCGTTCGCCTCTCCCCCCCCTTCCACTGTGTGTGTTTTTTGCGCTCTCCGCGCCCTCTCTACGTGGGCGCCGGCGGGGGGGGGGTTCGGCTGTTTTTTCTTCGGTCGGTCGAGAGCGTTGGTGTTGCTGGCGGGGGGTTGTCGCGCCTCCAACCGCGAGACGACTCCTTGCGACATCAATTAGGGGAGAAGAATGAGGAGTGGAAAGAGATGGTAAAGATTATGAAAGAGAGGGGGGGGGGATAGAAAAAAGTGAAATTATGAGTGAAATTTTTATAATGCATGGTAGGGTAAGGATAGACATTACGGTAGGGAACGATCGATTGTAAGGTAGGACAGGGCATGGCATGAAGTAACAGGGTATGGTAATTTAAGGTAGGCCGCGGTAGGATAAAACAGGTTATAATAGAGAAAGGTGGAGAACGGCCGATAGGAAGGCAGGGCATGAAGGGTAAGGTAAAACAATTCATGGTAGAGTAGGGTTGGGTAGGATAAGGTAGGTTAGGGTAGGATAGGGTATGGTAGGGTAGGGTAAAGTAGGTTAGGGTAGGGTAGGGTGGGGTAGAGTAAGGTAGGGTAGTGTAGTGCCTTTAGAATCTTTAAAACAAAAAAAGCTAATAAACATTAGAAAAAAACCGCTAAAAATCGAGGCACGGCAAAGAAAGACACACCAAACCTTAGAGACGGCAGAGAAACAGCGTGCACGCCGAGAGAGTGCAAAAGAAACAAGATCAAACTGGCTCCTTTGTCCACTCGCGATTCGTCGCTCAGCCGTTCCGCATGACGACAAGATTTGTGTGGAGGGTGGAGTCGGGCGCGGGCGCGAGTGAAAGGGACTGAAGAAACCACCCAAAGAAGGGACGCCCGCAATCAGCCCTCTCCGATCCTTTTGAGACGGGATTTGGGGGGAGATGATCCGCGCGCCAGTTCTTTTTTTCCAGGGCTTTGCAAAGTGCTGGATTTGTGGTTTTTTAAGTGGTTTGTTTATAAGGTGGTGGTGGGGGTAGGGGCTGTTGAGCTATACTATTCTTTGGAGGTTTGGCTTACCTAAACTATTCTTTTTACCCGTAGGGGAAAGCCTTAGAATTGGCCGCCCTTTGGTCTTAATCCCAACCTTTGTGTTAGCCTTAGAATATGCGTTAGTTCTAGTTTTAGCCCCGAACTTAGTATTAACCTTATTATCAGCCTTAGTCCCAGTCATAGCTCTAGCCTTTGCCGAAGCTTTAGGCTTATTCCTATCCTTAGCCTTATCTCATAGGAGGTATAACTGATCTTTTGAATTTGCTTGCCAAGCGTTAGGGCTAAAACTGATTTTTTTTACTTCCCAAGTGTTAAAGCTGATTATACTACTGATATTGCTTTACCTCTTAGTGAGTAGAGCTGATTAAATTTTTTTATCTTTCTTTTAACTTCAACAAGATATCTTAATTCTCCTTGGCTATAACTTTTTGGCGTCAAGCCCGCATTCTGTTTTTATATTATCCTATATTCACATTGTTTATTAGCAGGTGCCGAGTAAGCGAAACAAAAATAAGTTTACGCAATCTATTTATTATATCATAGTATGGTATTAGCTTCAAATTTATCTTATTATACGCAATTAATTGACATTTTTAATTTTTAAAAGATGATCGGGGGTGAGTAAAAATTACTTTTCATATCATTATTATGAAATGGGTGGTACTGTCCAAAATAATTTAGCGTGGGTCAGTCAGTCGAGAGAAGAGATATTCCTTTTTTAATTTTAAGACCTGACAATCGCGTGATCGCTCATCTTCTTGGCCGTGCACCGGCTTCGTTTGCGGCCCCGCTAAAAAAGGCAAAAGGCTTTGAGAATCGCCGCTTAAATTTGTCGCACTCATCAAGAAATTTATGTAAATTAATGATGGCTGACGAATTTTTGGATTTTGTTTTGACCCTTTTCCAGCCTTATTCTATCCTAGGTTTACCTTAGCGTCGCCCTAACCCTACCCTAATCTCTACTTGGCTGCTTTAGCTTACCCTACCTTACTTTACCCTACCTTTACTGTAGCCCTATGTTAGACCTAACCGTAGCCTTAGCACTATCATACATTTTTGAAATATGTTTTACATTTTTAGAGATTTTTGACCTTTTTTATTCAAATTTTAAAGCGTTTTACCTCGTTACGGTCATTTTATAGTCAGTACAGGTTAGTACTCTAGACGGCTTGATCTTGAGTTGTATTTTTACAATTCGTATTGTCTTATGCTTAGCCATTTAATGATTGTAAATTTCAAATTTTTCCATTCTGCGCCCCACTTCCCTTATTCAAACCCTCCCGCCCGCTCGGTCTTCCCATAATATGAAACCCGTCAAGCATTCGCGCGCGCCCTCACTAATTTTCACTCCCGATCACTCGTCTGACCCCTCCGCGCCCGCTGCCCCCTATTCAGCCGCTTCTTCGCCCCTCAACCAGTCAACACACCCAGCCCTCCGATTCGTTTTCCATCAAAAAAAAATTTTTTTTGTCGCGCGCGCTCCTGTCCACTTTTGTTCAAGTCCATTTCGAAGAGGGCGAATCGCGGGTGCGTTCTTCCTCTCTCAACCCCGCCGCTTTTCGGGCGGTGTTTTCCGGTTTTCCCGCTCCTTAAAGTGGAAGAGTTCATTTTGACCGTGCGCTCCGCTATGGCTGATTTTTTTTGTGCTAGTGATGGGTGGGTTCGCGGGCCGAGGGATGGTAGGAGATTTTTAAATACTCAAAATTGGTAGGATAAGGCAGGGTAGAATAGAATAAGGTTGGGTAGGGTAGGGTAAAGTAGGAAAAATAAGGTAGGTTTTAAGGGGTTTTAAACGTTCTTTTTTCATTAAAAGCAGTCGAATTCAAAAAAGATTTTTCAAGATGGCAAATCGGTAAAAGATTCTGTAAGAAGGTACTGTAGTATAAAATTCAAACGAAATTTCAAAAAATCATTTTAAAGCCCGTTTTACTGCCTTAATATTGCCTTAAATTTCCCACTTATACGCTTTTTTATTTGTTACCAAATTTCCCTGCTGTGCGTCCTTATATGCAAATTTTCGCAAATGTTTTGCCGAAACGGAATCGGCTTCCTGCCACCAGCACCGCGCTTCATAAATTTTTCATTGAGGTCGCGCGCGTCGCCGTGGGTAACACCGTGAACGAGGGAACCGGGCACTCGGGTTTGACTCGGCGGTCAGTCGGGCGCTGCTTGGGCGCCCTGGTCAGCTGGATATTATTTTTGGGCGGCTTTGGGTGCTAGGGGTGATTTTTTTAGCTAGGGGTGAGTTTTTATCTAGAAGTGAAAAAATCTTGCTAAAGATGAATTTCTGGCAAGGGGTGAATTTTCAGCTCAGGATAGAAAATTTAATTGGGGGTAAATTTGGAAAGAAATCTACGGTTTAGGTAGATCGATGTCTAGATCAATAATTTATCATTTGATTCAAAAATTTTAAGAAGGAGGACCCAGAGTTTGTGAACAAGCTATTTCTTACGGTCGTCACACGACTGGTTGCATATGGCCAACACTTATTATTAGTCCGACCCTGTGACTAATGTGTCGGCCCACGAAAACCCTTTTCCTGAACGCGCGCGGCGCATTACCAAAGCCCGTCCTTCTCCGCGGCGCTTAAGGAAGGCCCGTTCTTCTCCGACAACGAAGACCCGTCCATTTCGGACAGCCGGCGCCTCGGCGGGGGCGAGGGTTGTCGGCGACGCGCGCCGGTTTCCGCCCCGATTTTCGGCGCCTTCCTTCCACCGAACCGTTGTGTCGGAGGAGGGGGGCCGCACACGGTGTCGCAACACCGCACGAAGAGGACCCCAAAAACGGGGTTGGACCCGCCCGCGCCCGCACTTCTCCTCCACCCCAACCACTTTCGCCCGAGCGCGCCCAAAACGCACTCATTTCGGTGGTCGCGCTTCGTGCTTGCCCCGGCGTTGTTTTCCCCTCCGTCTCCTTTTCCCCACTTCGTCTTCAGGAGAGGAGTTTCCTGAATTTGCACGGTGCGCTGGGCATCGGGCTTGCGGATTGTTTTTGGGTACTCGGGTTTTTGTTTGCACGATGCAGCCGGGTTGTTTGCGCGGTGCGTGGGGGTCGGTTGCAAATTTGATGCCGAACATTTTATTAATGCATTTTGGTTTTGTTATTTAACTGCGGTTTTGCTTTAATATCGAGTTTTTTTTAATTAACGTGTGCATAATTGGGAGTTTCCGATGATTTTTGTGACATTTCGTCCAAATCTTGATCATTTTGATTTTTATTTTAATTTTATTGAAAAGCTTGATTCAGAATCGTATTTTAGGTTCAGAAAAATAATAACTAGGCCTTCTTTTTTGATTTATTTTTAATTTCGTAGTTAAGACGCGCCATTTTAAAATTGTTTTAAAATTTTTTACCTAACTGTATAAAAAATCGTATTTCAGCTTCAATTATGTCAAAAAACGAAGTAAAATTAAAGAAAACCCAGCCACCAGTCCGCCGATCTTCTGGAATGTTGAAGACAAAAGAAGTTACCGAGATTCCGGCCGATAGACGTGTCCTCCGGACATATACTGGTACGAGTGAGTATCGAAAAGGATTCTACGACATCTACGTTAAACCCAGTTCAAGCTCACCGGATGAGGCTGCCATTCAAACGGCTGTCATTCAATGCAAACTGTGCAACATGTTAATGAGGAACGAGGGAGGACATATCAAGTGAGTTTTTTTTGTGTTACTGGGTAGATTTGGGATTTTGTGATAAAGAATATTGATGTAGAGATAGTAATAGGTCTGTAAAATAAGATTTTTTGATTAGTTTTTAAAAAGGCATGTTGAAAACTGACAGTTTTTCGGGAAAAAAGAGACAAAGAAGGTGCAAAATGGGGGCCGCGCGGACTTTTTGATAACCAATATTTTAAAAATGATTTTTTGAAAAAATTTTAAAATTGAATAGTTTTTAATTTTCAAACTGAGCAAGGTATAAGCAGCGAACTGAGTGGATCAGCCGGCTTTCGATTGCCATGTCTTTTTTAGCACTTCTTAAAATTTTAACAATTTTTTGATCAAAAGATGCTACGGAGCATAGATATAGTTATTTTAAACAAAATTTTGCTGACATTTTCAAAATTGATCCATGCTGAGCCATTAAAACTCAACTTTCTCACCTAAAACAAGATTTTTAAAAAAACCAATTTTAAGACTTCGAGAGGCCCTAAAATTCAAAAAATCCCGCCAAACTGCAGGTGCGAAAAATTTGTATAAAGTGGGAACCAAAACTCAGCAGGATTTCGGTCCGGTAACCCGCCAGCCGACGTAATTACCATACTCTTGAAACCGGTATTGTTCCCTTCTTTGTTCGCGCCCGACTCATAAATAATTCCGGAAGGTCTAGTTTTTCGAAAAACATTTTACCGAAAAAATGTCAGCTTTTGTTCGCCGAAATTTGTAATTTACGGGGCTTGGTATTTACTTTGGCATGTGTTAAAAGGGGGTGGTTATTTTTAGAAATTTGCGTGGAAGTTTGATTATTACCTAAAATATATGAACTATGCGTTTTGGACATTTAAAATGATTTTTGAGTAAAAACTATGGGATATTATGGCTAGAAAAATGTTTTGCTTGAGTTTTGTTACCTAAAAATTCATTTTTAAAAAAAAAAGTTTGTTACCTAAAATTTTATTTTTTGCCAAAAATTGGTAAAAAATGAGTTTAGTAGCACATCTCCAGCATAACAAATGCCTAAAAGATACCTAAAAATCATTTAAAAAAATTTGTTACCTAAAATTTCACTTTTTAAAAAGATTGTTACCTAAAAGTTAAAAATGCCACTTTTAATCAAACCATTTTCAGAAATCACGCAGTTCACACCTGTTCAGCTCGAAAAGACCGTGTCCCGAAGAAGCCCAAGAATTACAATCCACTAAAATCTGCCAACTACAACAGCCTAGTCCACCCATGCCTCGAGGACAGCATCGCATCATTGGCCCATCACAACCTCGCATCGCTGGCCGAACATGCTCAACTGTGCTCTAGTCCGGAAAGCAGTCCAAACAAATCAACCGAAAATATCGACCCAAAGAAGCTGGCTTCCGAATCTTTGGTAAAAAGCGAGATTCTGGAGTCAAAAGTGGATTCTGAAGGCACAAATTGGACTAAAAATGAACTTCAGGGTATGAAAAGTGATTTTCTCACCCCAAAGTTTGAGATTCAGAAGCAAGAACATCAGAATCAGAAGCCGGACAACACTTTTGAGCTGGCCAATTTTCTAAAGGACCAAGCCTTGGTCATGTTTATTAATCAACTGGCACAAACGTCGACGATCAACAACCAGCCAGTCCAGAACTCAACTATCAACATCCAGTCTGCCCAGAACTCGACGTTCAGTAACCAGCCGGCTGGTACAAAACGAAAACTGAGCGATTGTGATAGCAAAGAAGTCAAGAAACCAAGGTTAATATCAACGACGAGAAGGAAAATGAGGCAAAATATGTTGAGGACCAAGGACATGGAGAAGATCAGCAGGGACAGGTAAGAGAATGATTGAATTTGTTATTTATAATTGATTTTTCGGTAATTAAAGGCTCAAAAAAATGTGGTTTTAACTGTAAAATAAAATATTTTGAAAAAATTGTTTTTGAAAAAAAATTTTGGTACTACTGGTACTATTTTGAAAAAATGGTGCAACTAGTATTAAATTTGATTTTTTTTACTTTTAAAGGTATAAAAATAGATTTTAAGACAATTTTTACAAAAAAAATTTTGGTACCACTGGTACTGTTTTGAAAAAAATCTTAAAAATAGGACCCAAATAAATTGAAAATGCCTACAAAACAACAAAAATCAATATAAAAAATTTTAGATTTGTCCTCCGCCCCTATAATGGTACCAGTGAATACCGCAAACAGTTCTTCGACGTTTGGGTCAAGCCTTCCGCTTCTGAATCCGACGAATCCGCGGTGGAAACGGCGGTGATTCAATGCAAAAACTGTAGCCGAATCATGAGCAACGAAGGTGGTCATATCAAATCTCATGTTCAGTCGGCTTGTAAAGGTCAACCGGATTCAAGAACCTCGCCTAATTTGAGCAAAAGTACCACTAATGCACCAAACTTGGTCAATTCTGGTATCAATTCGGCCAAAACCGTACCAACTGGGCAAGAAGAGAACAATGCTGTTTTGCAACTGTTGTTGTTGCAGCAGTTGTCGCAACTTCAGCAGCCTCAACCGGTCGATAATGTGGCTTCGGACTTGTTGGCGCAAATTTTGAATGCGGAGCCCGCACCAGCTGCGCCCTTATTTCCGTTGAATTCGCTTAGCGCACTGCTGGGCACTCAGTTTTAAGTCACCTGTACAATTTTTTAACTACCATTTTGTTGTATTTATCATATTAGTACTCATAGTACCATATAGTACACACAGTACCACTCCAATATCTAAAGTACTATTCTAGTACCATTCTCAGTACTAACTCATAACTTATTGTTCACTAATTTATTACCTACTATAATATACACCTAACTCAATGTGTCTTTCATTTACATTATTGTAGCCGATTTACCTCACAATACTTGTACATATACCTACCTTACTGTAGTTAAAATGCAATAACTTTAACATCTTCGTATCGAAACGGGTCATTACAACTGTTGACACTACTTGTAATACACTACTTCACTTACCACTCTCAATAAATATTGATCATGAATGGTCAGAGTTTTATCGTATTTTACAAAATTTTGAAAAAATAGCAAGAACTTTCTTTACAAAACAAAAAATGGCAAGAACTTTTTTTTACGAAACAAAAAAAACTTTAAAAAATTAAAAAAAATTTAAAATTTGGCAAAAAACCCACCGCAACCTCAAAATTTCTTCATTAGAAGAGCTGATTTGATCTTCCAGATGGATACTTTTCGACCGCCACTTATTAGCTTCTTCATCCTTTTTCACAACATCAGCTTTGGCCGCTTGAAGGGACTGTAGCAAAGTGTGTAGCTCTTCTTCCAACGACTCCGACTGTTTTAACCGGTCGTTTTCTGTTTTGAGATCATTGATTTTGTTGGTTAATTCAGTATTTTGGGAATTTATGGTTGATAGGGATTGTTTGGTCGATGACAACTCGGATTCAAGGGATTTTCTAAAATTTTTAAAAATTAAAAATTTTTATAAAATTTTTAATTTAGCAAGTACTATTGACGTATTTTACATTTAAAAATAACTTTTGACGTTTTTGCATTACTAACTATGTCTTTAAATCAAATTTCCCGCTTTTTTAGTCGGCTTTTTAATTCTGCAGGCTGCGCAAACCATGTTATACGATGAAACATGTCCCCATATTAATCGTGATTGTTTTAATTTAAAAATGCTTTTACAATCACGTTATAAAACGTATTGTAATTTCAAAATCATTAAAACTGAAGATTTTAAAAGTTGCAGGCTACACAAACCATGTTATACGACGAAACATGTACAAAACAAAATTAAAATATTTATTGTTAGGTAAAATACGCCAACTGCTCTTTGAAATCAAAAATCTATAACTAAAAGCAATTTTCTTACCGTTTAGCACTTTCTTTTTCACTCTTTTCCTTCATAGCATCAATCTTGTTCTCGAGTACGTCAATATCACTGTTAGGTGAAAGGCCAAGTTTAATATACAATGAAGCGTTCTGACTGGTAATGTCACTGTATTTACTTTCAATGTTTAATAACCGTTTTTCTAGATTGCTAATAGCTTCTTTTTGCTTCAGAAGTTGAGCTTCTAAGTCGGATTTGTAGGTATTGAGGTCCTTGTTAGCTTGAGTTACTGTAGCCAACTGGGATTTTAAATGTGCCACTTCTGATTGAAGCTCAGAGTCTTTGGAAGACTAAAATTAAAAGTTTAAGTTTTAGAAAGCCCTACCCTACCCTACCCTACCCTACTTTGCCCTACCCTACCCTACCCTACCCTATCCTACTCTACCCTGTTTTAATTTGCTCGATCTAAATTCACCCCTACCCTATCTCAACTTACCCTACTCTGTTTGAACCTACCGTTCCGAACCTGAACTTACCCTACCTTATTTGGACCTACAATACCCCATCTGAACTTATCCTTCTATAACCTGCGTTACCATATCTTAACTTACCCTGCCTTATTTGGAATTACCCTGTCCTATCTTAACTTACTCTGCCTTACCTGAACTTACCCAACCCTATCTGACCTTATGTTTCCATATCCTACCCTATCCAAATTTACCTTGCTATACCTGAAATTACCCTTGCTTGATATGTATAAACTTTTTATAATCTATCTAAACTGATCTACCCTACCATACCCTTACTATTTTGTTTTACCTTACCCTACCTTTACTAAAAATCAATTTTAAATTACAAAATATGAAATAAAGTCCAAAAAACCTACCGATTTGGCCAACTTCAGACTCTGAATAGCCGCGTTGCTGTTCTCGAGCTCTTTCATGTACCTCTGAGCCTCTTCTTTCAACTTCTCCACCTCCAAACTGTGGCTTTTCTTCATGACATTAAACTGATTTCTCTCACTCTCTATCTCTTCTCTCAACGTCTCCTTAATATTTGTCATTTCTTTCAAAAGTTGCTCACGTTCCGTCGACAACTCGGCAACTTTTGTCTTCAAATTTTGAATTTCACTCTTTTCCGAATGTGAATCTGCCATTTCTCGTATAAGCTGGTTGATTTGTGAAAAAAGTTCTTGCTTTTCTGACTCTTCACGTTGCAACTGTTGCTGAAGTTCTCGTTTCTGAGCCATAAGTTGCTGAACATCAGGAGGCTGGCGGGATTCGAAGAGTTTTCGTTGGTGGGACCATTGAACTCTGAATGACAAAGTTTATAGTAGCATAAGGTTTTTATAGGGAAGGAGAGGGAGAGAGGTTAAATAATACAAGGGTTTTAATGTAACTAGGGTAAGACAAAGCTTATCACTGATACTGTAAAGAAAAAATAACGGTTGAGGTAGAACAATCTATAGAATAGGCTTGTGATAGAGGGTAAAGGTAAGTAAAGTAAAGGTAAAATAAGACTCAAAAGAAGGTCAAGGAAAAACTAGTGCTACAGAAGAGCAAGACCAGGGCCTAGACTAGTACAAGACCAAGAGCAAAAGCTATGGGTAAGAGAAAATCTGCAGCGGTGGCTAGATTTTACATTGTCTAAGAAAAGGCATAGGACAAGATCTAGGGCGAGAGCTAGGGCTTAGAAAAGATCTCGAGTAAGGGCCAGGCCTAACACAAGGTCTGCGGCAAGGTCTGTGGCAAGGGGTAAGATTCTAGACTAGGGCTCTGGGTTAAGGATTTGGGCTAGGGCTTTGGGCTAGGACTTTGGGCTAGGGCTCTGGCCTAAGGATTTGGGCTAGAACTCTGGGCAAGGGCTCTGGGCTAAGGCTCTGAGCTAGGGCTCTGGACTAGGGCTCTGGGTTAGGGCTCTAAACTAAGCTCTGGGCTAGGGCTCTGGGCTATGACTCTGGGTTCTAGGCTCGGGCTTTCTAAATGTTTAGTAAAGAAGATAAAACTTACCGGTCAGCTTCACATTGTCTTAGCTTGTGTTGAAGTTGTTCGATTTCTTTGGCTCTCTCTTCTAACGATCTCTAAAAAAATTTTTTTAGTAAAATACGGTTAGATATTCTGAAATTTCAATTTTTTTTTAAACGTACATAAATAAAATTTTTTTTCATACTTAAAAATAAAAAAAAGAAAAATTTTTACCTGTAATTGTTGAGCAGTAGACATTGTGACACTTTTTGATCAATCTTTCTTTTAAAATTTCAAAATTCAAAAATTTCAAAATTTTGAAAACTGATAACTTTTTTCAAAATTCAATCAAAATTTCCAAACTAATGCCAATGTTGTAGTTGATATGATTATGTACACGTTTTTAATTGAAATTCTTGCTTTATGACCTTAATAAAGTCATATTTTTGTTTCGATAAAGTTGTCGAGTCTTTTTTAGTCCAGCTGTGTTCAGTCAATCATTTAGTAGTCGATATGATAGTAAACAAAACGTTTTTGTAATAACTTTGAAGTAGTTTTTAAATTTTCAAATTTAGTAAAGGTGATAGTGGTAGTACTATAAGATATGTTAAATAATGGTAGTACTAAATGTCTATAGTATATAGTTGGTAGTACTAAAAGCTATGTTAATATAAATACAAGTCAAGTTGATAAGTTGATCAGTAAATGCAAAATACGACACAAAAAGCAGCGGTGTACTATAATATAAGTTGTGTAGATATTAAAGTAAGTGTAGATGTCTAAAAATATGTTTATCTTTTAGTAGAATAATATAAAGTAATGCTAGAAAAAGGAAAATCGCGTAAAACTATAATAATTACAGTAAAACTCCCGTATAACAAACCCTTATATATACCGTCGAACTCCTGTATCATAAATTGTTTAAAGATTTTAAATTTGTTCGTTATGAATGAGTTTGTTATAGAGAAACAATTAGGTGCCGACATAAACAATCCACCATACTTTTTCTGTAGTTTCCTGTAAAAAATGGCGGGTTCTTTATGTCGGCACCTAGTAGTTATAGAAGAATTGCCCTTTAAATTTAAAAAAAAATTGTATTTTATACGATGAAACATGTCCAAGTGGTATACACTGGAGATTCCTTGTGTAGCAAAACTCCTTTATAACGAACTATTTTATAATATACGTCTCTATAACAAACTCTTCTATAATATTACAAACTCTTTTGCAAAAAAAAACAACTTTTAAATCCTCATCTTTCACTAGCCAGTGCACTTACAACCCCTGATACCAAAACTCCTTCTCCACGAAAAAATTTTAGATCCTCGAGCAATTCGTTACACATGCTCCACTGTAATAGAAAAAAATAAAGAAAACGTAAAATACGATTAATAAATTAATAAAGCAAAAAAAAGTGTAATTTCATCCAATAAAATACATTAAAATGTAGCTTCTATCACAGATAACAAGAGCATCACAATTCAATGAAAAATTGATTAAAATTTGCAAAAACAGTCATTTTTTGATAAAAAATGATTTGGATTTTCATAAAAGTTGTAATAATTTACTTTACAAAATAAAAATAGCAAGAACTTTCTTTACAAAACAAAAAATGGCAAAAACTTTGTTTACAAGACATAAAATGGCAAGAACTTTTTTTACAAAAAAAAATAGCAAGAACTTTCTTTACAAAACAAAAAATGGCAAAAACTTTGTTTACAAGACATAAAATGGCAAGAAGTTTCTTTACAAAACAAAAACAATCAAAAACCTTGTTTTTAGCGCAAAAAATCGCTAAAACTCCCCCTCCCCCCCCACTCCCCTCCCCCCCCTTTCTTCCGTTCTGATCTCTCTATTCTCCCTCCCCACCCCTCACTTTTCTCCCCCTCTCCTTTCTTTACCCCTCCCAAAACAAAAAAAAACCCTTCAAACAAAATTTTCCACAAAATTTGTTTGGTGGTCAGGCGTTGGGAGGGGGGAAAACAACAAAATATAAGCAAAAAATGTGAGCGATTCACTTAATGCAAACAGTCACGCGCAAATAAGTTTTTCCTCTCGAAAGTTATTGTAGACGGAAATCGGTCAGTATTGTCATTTTTATTGTGTTATTGGATTAGAAACACATCCCATTATTGTTGTGTCACGTCCAGCGCGGAGATGAGCTAGTTTTTTTCAGCGTGTTAATCAAATTAGAAAACTTGGAGGAGCTTTTAGGAAGAGGGGGAGGGGAAGAGAGAAAAGAGAAGATTGCGACAGAGAACCTAGCCCACAGCCCTAGCTCAGAGCCCTAGCCCAGAGTCCCAGTCCAGAGCCCTAGCCCAGAGTCCCAGTCCAGAGCCCTAGCTCAGAGCCCTAGCGCAGAGCCTTAGCCCAGAGCCCACAGCCCACAGCCCACAGCCCACAGCCCTAGCCCACAGGCCTAGCCCACAGACTACAGCCCTAGCCCACAGCTTTATCCCAGAGCCCTAGCCCTGATCCCGGAGCTTGGAGCCCAGAGCCCTAAAAGACATAGGGACCGTGCCGGCCCTATTTTTCAGGCCCAATCTAAATTTTGTTAAGAGCCGGTCCGGCCCGAACTTTTTACGTGAAACCGGGCTGGTCTTATTGAGCCGATTTGGGCGTTGATTTTTCGGCCCTGCCCAATCTAAATTTAGATCAAAGCCGGTCCGGCCCGTTCCCCTTGTCTAGCCTAAGCCTTAGCCCTAGCTTTAACTCTAGCTTTAGTAGTAGCCCTAGCTGTGGCCCTATCCTAAAGCATAATATTTGCTTTGCCTTATTCTTTAATTTACCCTACACTTTGTTTTACCCTGCCCTATCACTTGCTTTACTACACTTTTTTTCGTGCCTTGCCTTACCTTTTATATTATGATACCTTGTCATACTCAACATTACACCTTACACCGCATTTTACATTACACAGTTGCTTGTATTATTCATACTCTACTTTTAGCTATACCATACTTTTTTAATCGCCTTTTTCTATCCCTCGTTCTCTCCTGCTCTGCCCTATGAATTGCCATGCAGCTATCTTATCTTGCTTGTCGCTGTGCTTTGTTATGGTTTACTTTCTATACCATGCGCGTTGCGTTCGCCTTACCTCTTCCCTAGGCATACCCGTGACATAAATTAGCTCTATCTTATAATTAATCCTACATTATCCACCAAATGGCTAACCAAATTTCAAAAAAACTATCAAACACCAATTTAGCGATCACAATTTCAACAAACATCTCTTTCCAAAAAGTCAAAAATTAATAAATTTGTTATAGACAACAACTGATAAAACAATTCCCACCTGATGATTCAGAATTGGGTGTGATTTGAGAAAGGTTTGTCAAGTTTCGTTTCGAAATTAGCTCAAGGCGGTGATTTCTTTTGAACTAATTTTTTACTCCACGAACCGGCGATTCATGCCTCATTTAGCAACGGACGGCGTAAGGCGTTTTTTTGAGTAAAAAGATAAAGTTTAGGAACAAAGATACTAGTATTTTAAATATAATTAAGATAAAAAAAAATTAAAAAAAAATTAAATAAAAAAAAATTAAATTCAAAATCTTTTTTTTTATTTTTTAATCTGTAAATAAAGTCTTTGCATATAATGTCAAAGTAAAGCTTTTTTTGAAGCTTCGCTGACCTGTTAGTGACAAGTTACCGTGCAAAACGTTTTCAAAGGACGTTCGGGCCAGTTTTTGTTTTGTAAAGAAAGTTCTTGCTATTTGTTGTTTTGTAAAGAAAGTTCTTGCGATTTTTTTATTTGTAAAGAAAGTTCTTGTCATTTTTTATTTTGTAAAGAAAATTCTTGCCATTTAATGCTTTGTAAATAAAGTTCTTTCTATTTTTTTGTCTAAAAACATAAAAAATTTTAAAAAAAATTTAAAAATTCAAAAAACGTCCTAAAACCTAAAATTCAAGGCCAAAAATGCCATTTCTAAACGAAAAAAAACAAAAAAGGTGAGGTAAATTTCCGTAAAAATACACCTTTCGTTCCAAAAACATAATGTTTTCTTTTTCGGAAAAAGAACGGAATTGAAAACGAGCACTGTTTGTATATTTATCCATAAATATAACACGCTCGTGCTCCTGCCAAACGCTGGGAGTTGAACATTTGGAATGACATGACAACAAAAAAAGCACAAAATTGCAAAAACTTTCTTTACAAAACAAAAAATAGCAGAACTTTCTTTACAAAACAAAAAATGGAAAGAACTTTCTTTACAAAACAAAAAATGGCAAAAACTTTCTTTACAAATCAAAGAATGATAAGAACTTTCTTTACAAAACATATTTTACTTTACTCAACTCTTCTTTAACCTAATTCACTCTAGCTTATCCTACCTAAACGTACACTGCCATACGACCTTACTCTACGCTCAATCCCATCAAAATAAAAACTATTTTAACAATACCCACCTTATTTATCGTTACCCTACGTATGCTCTGTTTTAGCATATTTTACATTACCCTACTCTTCTTTGCCCCATCTATTATTAGATGCCGACATAAAGAACCCGCTATACTTTTCCTGTAATAAAAAATGGCGGGTTCTTTATGTCGGCCCCTAATATTAGTGCTTATTCTTCTTTATCCTACCCTTTAAATATTTGTTCCTCTTCTTTGCCCTACCCTCTAAATTAAAAAAAAAGAACTTAAAAAAGTAAATAACAACATACCAAGTTACATTACTCTTACTTACTCAACTAGTCACTTTTTTTACTTTTACTAGGATTAGTAGTATCATCACTCCATACTTTGTCATTGTGACACACGATAAAAAATCTTTTCAAACGTTTTCACTAACCAAGCCCATAAAGAATAAACGTTTTGTCATCCAAAATGACAAAAAAGAGAGGTTTTATCTGAATTTTCAAAAAAAGTATAAAAGAATAATGAACAATTCAGCTAGCCATTATAAGCGTGAGTCTGAAAATCATAAAGACATTATTCAAGTTTTATTCGACGCATTAAAATGCTCGTTATTCCAACGGATTTTTCTTGTTTTGGGTCGAGAATGAGCTTGAGAAGAAACATGAAATATAATTTTTCAATTTAAAAATTAAAAATTTAAAAAATTTAAATTTTTCAAATTTGAGGATGTTTACATCACAATACCCAAAACTTTGCTTCCAGGCTCTTAAATGACAAGAACTTTCTTTCCAAAACAAAAATTTTCAAGAACTTTCTTTACAATACATAAAATGACAAAAATTTTCTTTACAGAACTTAAAATAGCAAGAACTTTCTTTACAGAACTAAAAATA